ACAGAAAAGGGAGAAAGCTAGCAGGAAGACAGAAAAAATTGAGTTATGAAAGGAAAGAGGTATCAGAAGGAAAACCAGGGTGAAAAAATGATGATGGCTAAAGGCAGCCTGATGTTCATAGTATGAAGTCTCTACAGGACTACCCTGTTATTTGACTTGGTCAGCCCTTGACCAGACAACACTGCGATAACAAATATAAAATGCCTGTCTTGTGCTGGTGCTACAATATGAAACTGCCCCTGTGCACGTTCTGAAGACATTTCAGTGAATTATCAGCTGCTCCATATTAAATTTAAAATATATGATCTTATTTAAGCTGTTCTGGGTCCACAAGGACATTAGTTCTAAGAAAACCAGTCTGTGCTATTGGTAATAAAATAAACTAGGTAGGTAGCCTTCTAAAAAAACACAAAGGATATTGAGGTGCTGGGGTGGGAATGTTCAGATAGTGAAGGGCCTGGAGCACAAGTCTCATGAGAAAGAGCTGAGGGAACTGCGGGGGTTTGGTCTGCAGAAGAAAAAAGGCTTAGGTGAGACCTTACTCTACAAGTACCTAAAAGGAGGCTGTACTGAGGTGGAGTTGGTCTTTTCTCACAATTTACAAGTGGTAGAACAAGAGGAAATGGCCTCAAGCTGCACCAGGGGAGATTTAGACTGGATGTTAGAACAGTTTCTTCCCTCAAACAGTTGTCAGGCTGCCCAGGGCAGTGATGAAATCACCATCCCTGGAGTTCTTAAAAAAAACCACCCCATGTAGATGAGGCCCTTATTAGCATGGTTTAGTGGTGGCCTTGCCAGTGCTGGGGGAATGGTTGAACTTGATCTTAAAGGTCTTCTCCAACCTAGTCGATTCTATGACTCCGCGATTACTGGGACCCTGCATTTTAGCCAAGGTTACAACTGTTAATAGAGCTCTATAGCTGTCAGAATATTACTAGAAGTTTCATAGAAGCCAATAAAAGCCTGGAAATGCACACGTAGAGCTGAAAATCCAGGTTGACAAGCATTCTTAACTGTAGGGTCTCCTTAAAATAACAACTCCAAAAGGAATGGGGAGTGCAGGAGGCAGATAGCAGGAAATGGATCACACAGCATGACTTCAAACTTGAGTTTGTGTGCTTCTCCTAGATTTACAGCTGGCCCATATCTGATCTCAAGCATAGAATTCCCTAAACATTTGAAGAAGCTGTTGCAATTGAATTTACTCTTGGAGAGAATAGGTCTATGGACATGTTAACTGCAGATGTAAGACCCAGTACTTCTCAATTCTAATGCTCATTCTGGCAGTTACTATTCCTTGTAGCTAATTTTACATTTCTTGTAAGATTACAAGTGAATTGAGCAATGTGAAAGTAACAGCACAGAATGTGATAATTATTATTCTGCTATCTTTTAAGAACATAGTGGAGTGTTAATAGAAGGGAAAATAACAATGCTTTAAAAAACCCCTTGTAATTATGCAAATTTCCAGTACTTAAGGCTTGGCAGATCAGAGAACCTTACAGTGAATGAGGTAAGGACAGCCATATGTGCCTTTGTAGTTTACTCTCTGCACAAATGTTGCATACATGAAAGATACCAGAACTAAAGACCTGTAGAATTAGGAAGATCAGAAGGATGGTGGACATTTCTTTTGAGTATGGCTGATTTTAGTGCAGGCCTAAAAGGAAAACTTAGGGTGATTGGACAGTTTGGTTTTAGTGGTCCAGCCTACACCTGCTGTCCTGCTAAGACCAACGGTAAAGACAACAAACAGCGTAAGTTGATGTGGGCAGGGGAAAGGAATAGTAAGCATTATTTTCATTAGAAAAATCCTATGTTATTATTCACCTTAATTCTTGGAAAAGAGACTTAAAAAAAATCTGATTATCAACCATCAGATTATCACACGATTTATTTTATAGAATTAAAAGCTTCAAATACACATACGGTTTGTCCATGATATTATATAAGGAATGCAAATAAGTTGATGAGAATTAGTTTTAAAATAGTATTTTCATGCCATACTTTTGAAAACTTCAATGAGGAAAAGATGGTTTTTAGGTTTATACATGGCTCAAAAATGTATGTGGGTTTGGTATTGCCCACCAGTAGACATACAAAATGTGGCTTGAAGTATTTCTTGATAGTCAAATAGAATATGATTCTGATGTAGCAGACTGTTTTTCAAGATAATTAGGCCTGTAATTTTAGTTAGAACATGTACTGAATTTTACAATTAGCACTTGTGAAAGAATCAAGTTTAGATACAAACAATATATCTGTTTCAGATAACGTGACTTTGAAAAGTTCTTGCAGAATTATACAGACTCAAAAAAAAATCTATTAACATATTACAGTTGAGACAGTGATCAAAGACAGTATTACGAAATTCCCTGTAGCAATACTATTAGGGTCATAAATGCACTTGGAATTCATTACTGTAATTTCCAAATGCCAGAACAGGAAAGGAAATTCATCACGATTGGACTCTGTTAGGTTCTTATAGTAAATATGGTAGCAATGAAGATGAATGGTACTTAGCAGCATTAAATCATATTTGATAGCTGTTTCTTAGAGTAAATTTTTAAAACATCGCATTTCTAAAAGCACTATGAAAGCACTACCCATCCCCCTGAAGAACTCTGCAAAACAACCCATGAAAAACCCAGGCCCTAAAGATAATGGTTAATAAAAACATTTTTGTTCTTGGAAGAGAGAACTGGGAAACAGAAGCTCTGTGCATTCTTTCATGACACAGAGGTCTGTAGTTGGAAGAACATTATTTTGTCATTGATTATTTTACAAGTTTGCTTAAATAGTAAGTGCCAAAAGGTTAAATATACACAAAACAAAAAGGTCTAAACTTATATTTCCTCAAAGTGGGGTTTAGAATCAGTTTAGACTGCTGTGAGTTATTTAACAGGTATTCTGCACTTGAAATCCCACAAATCGATTATTTTGTCATCTTCTGATTAAAATGATGCCAATGTATAAAAAGCAAATTTATTTTAAAAAGCAGCATGCAACGTATCATTCAGCTATGCTAAATTTCAGTCTTCTACAGTAACCGTATATATCCCAAATCTAAATATTTTTAAAAATCTGATAATAGAAATTTTGTTGTTTTGTTTGTTTACTTTACATATAACCATTTTATAGCACTTTCTTAAATAAGAAAAAAAGTCAGTTTGATGGTTTTACTAATGTGTTTCTTCTCTTAGATAAGCCCCATCTTTTTTGTTACTTAGGCAGTTACTCGTAAGTACTTTGTATTCTGCAGTAACATAGGTATTAGGGGCCAGAAATAACAAAACAGCAGCATACTGAAGTAAGCTTCCCATCCATATGAATCCAGGCTTTTGAGGTTGGAGAAAGATCCTGTGAAGGCCTTTACTGGTGTCTTCTGACATGGTTAACAAGATTGGACTGCACCATGACTTGGCTGACAAAGCTTGCAAGCCTTCATCTTGGTAACTGGCAATGAGGAGAGATGCCAGTTGTTACCCACCAGAGCCGGCTGCCTAAGGGTGTGGGTTCAATCCTCTAAGGGATCACAATGTAACTAGAAATCTTGTCATGGGAACTTAAGTAAACATGTAAGCTCTTTTTTAATTTAGCTTATGCAGAAAACCTTCAGACTGCTGAAGCTGAGTATACAGTTGGCAGGACAATTAAGTTTATTAAAATTAATTTGTGCAATAACTAGGAAAAATACTTTGCATTTTCCTGTTAGCATTAGTTTTTTTCTGATTAAAATGTAGGCGAATGTTTTCAAGCTTCAAAACCCATATTTCAGCATGTACAAATACAGAAGTAATACAGAATATCAGGTTTGTGTTTCGTAACATCTTTCTTTTTTCTAGGGTGGAATTAACAGTTCTCAGCACAGTATTCAACGTGAGAGCATTATCACTGATTGAGGACCTTAACATGTTAGCAATTTGCTTCCTAAATTATTGCTATTCTTTAAATTAGTGTTATATGGAATACAGTTTTCCCAGAGACCTATGAGAATCTTCCACTAAATCTGAGTTCAATTAGAAAAAAGACTTGAGTGACAGATGAAGATGACTGCCACTATTGAGCTCAAGTCAGAATGGCATAACTTACAGACATGCATACTCCAACCAGCTTTTCGCTTAAGAGTTTGGGATGTTTTTCCTTAAGAAGTGAGTCCATTATGTTCCTAAGTTTACCAGTCATACATTAGACCAACAGACTACTTAGTCACCTGTGTCTTCTAGGAACCACTAGTAAAACCCCAGAAAGCAGCATAAACCCTAGGATATTCTAACATTAGACACTGCTTGAATTATGGCCTAATGGTTCTTTTTGTACCCTTTTCTGTAAACTGTGGCATCTGCAACATCTCATGCAATTAAACCTCTAGTTAGGCTAGAGGTTGCATGTAGCACTGCTGCTTTCCATTTATTTTGATCCTGTTACCTTAATGATTTTTGATACCTTGCAGTTCCTGTGTTACGTGAAAGGATGCAGCCATTCCCTCTATCTTCCTCATGTTACTCATGATTTTATAGATGCCTGTTAGCCTGCCAGCTATAGTGAACAACTTCAGAAAAATACATCTTGTGTTTACTAAATACTATGTTGATTCTTTTTCATGTGGCTACAAGATTTTATTTAGGTATTTGAGGCCATTGCTATTTCTTAGTATGTAATTACTAAGTAACCAATAGAAAAAGTAAGTCATTAGGATCTTAAGCTATTTTACAAACTGATGATGTACCCAATGATTTTTCAGATTGGGTAAGATAAAGCCAACCGTTCAAACTCAAGTTGCATGAGACAGAAGAAAATATAATGCAATTGTACGGTTTCTAATACGCAATTGGTAAAGAAAGAAGAGGAAGTTAGGGAGTTTTAGCCTTGTAAACTGAATACACAATTCAAAACCAGTCCCATTTCACTCTGTAAACTTCTTCCCAACTCTTTAGGTTGCTGACATGCATATATAGACAGACCATGCCATGTGCATTCTCACTGTGAGACTATCTTACCTGACCCATTTTTCAGGTATCCATTTGCATCTACAGTAGTGTACATAATGTAAGGACCAGGCTGATTAACACCGAAAGGCTACATGGGGAAAGAAAAAAACAAACAAAACAAGAAAAAAACCCAACAGGATAGGTGAAGTTTTAGGAATGGAGAAAGCTATATTAAAGCTATAGTAATAAAATCATAAGCCAAAGAAAAATGCTTCTAGATTAATGATTTCCTTTTGATATGGATAATTTAAAATTTTTGGAACCATTCTGGTCAGAGCATTATATGGAAATTCATTTTCACCCTACGGCTAATTAGTTGGCTAAGTAATACTCAGTTTCTCATGAAGAAAGCAATACTATTCAGTCCTCTGGCAAAAGGTTTAATGTTTCTTTGGAAGTTATAACTAAAATGAAAAAAACTAAAAATTCAAAGACATAATTGCATGTTCTGAAAAAGCATAACACATTTCATACGGCATGAGAGAATGCACTATCCTGATGGTGTTTCTGTAATGAAAAATATTATACAAATTCAAAATTTTGTTACTATTTAGCCGTTTTTTACTTAATTCATGCAAGCGGCTGAATAATTACTTGTCGAGTACCAATATCTATTTTAAGCAAATCTCTTGAGGGAGAAAATGCACTTAAACATCAAAGTACAGTTATGAGGAAAAAATAAAAAAATGAAAAAAGAAATCAAAGGGAGCTGTGGATTATGAGTGATAAACTATAACAAACACACCTAAGAAAAACAGAAGAGGGAACAAATATCTGCTATGGTCTGGAAGGCAAGGAATGAGGGAGAGCTTTCCTTTTTTTTTTTTTTAAATGCTCAATTGAAGCTGATATTAAAGCATCAAATTCAGAAAAGATCTTTCAAATGAATTACAGAAAGAACACTAAAAGAAGAGATGATAACACGTTTCACACCATGCGTCCAAAAATAGTAAGTTCTAAACCATCAGGATAAGTGATAATGATGAGAGATGGCATCAAAGCCTGAAAAATCATGATTAGAATGGAATGTATGGCAACTGCAAAGATGATGTTAATGCATATCTACGGAAGATGGTTAAATAAGGTGAAAAGTGGGTGGTTGGTTGTTAGTTTTGTATGTTTTTTTTTTAAATCATTATTTTTGCACCAAGTTGCTGATTTTGGCCATGATGTACATTATGTTACTTTCTGTCAGAGAACTTCTACTACAGTGGAGGCAATAGTGTTTCAATGAACTTGATAATGAAACTTTCACCACCATCTCTTCTGAGGATTTGCTTTTTAAACCCTCTCTTTAGTTTTGTGCTTAAGCTAATAATAGTATCAACTGTCCTTACTATTTTATATCAGAAATTAAACTCTGTCTTGAAGTAGGCTTGAAGAAAAAGTAGGTTCATTTGAAGCAGGTTTTGTATTTTCAAGTCAAAACTGAATTTCGTATTTTTGCAGAGCTGTAGAGCTAACACTATCTTTGATTCCTCTAAGTTCCATTTTTAGGCAACTTTCCCAGTGAAATTTGAAACTAAACAGTCATGCAAAGGTATAGTTACACTTACTGTTATTTTCCGAGGACAGTCATTAGAACAGAGGCCACTGAGAACTGGAAAAACAAAAAGTAAACTTGTAGTTTGCAAGTTTACAAGCCATCCTATAAGCACTACCTCTGAATCAGTTAAAGTGTAGTAATAGGGTCAAGTATCCATTAAAACACACAAAGAAAATAAATATCTCTATATGACTTACGCTAATTTAGGTTAGATATTCGAAGGAAGTTCTTCCCTGAGAGGGTGCCCTCAGCACCTGCTGGCACAGGCTACCCAGAGAAGCTGTGGCTGCCCCATCCCTGACAGTGTTCAAGGCCAGGCTGAACAGGGCTCGGAGCAACCTGATTTAGTGGAAGGTATCCCTGATTATGGCAGGGGGTTGGACAAGAATAAACTTTAAGGTCCCTTCCAACCAAAACCATTTGTGATACTATAATAAATTTCCCAATCTGTTTGAAGCATATTTCTTTGCAGACATTAATCAGCTAATCACTGTTTTATCATATCTCACTGGTTAACCACCTTCACAAGGAGAGATTTGCCAGTTAAATTCCAAATGAAAACAGTTTTTTAAATAGTGGACTATACATTTTATTCATTCTTCATTTCCAACTATTTAAAAATACTGGCAGAGATTCAGCTTTACTGTTTTAACTGCTAAAAAGGGAAAGGCTTTTCCTTCTATAAAAGGGATAGTTTTACAACTTGTTTTAAAGCATTCAAAAAACCTGTAACAAACAAATCTTATTACCTATTTATTCTATAAAATCAAACAAAAATCCCATTATCTATTACTTCTATGAATTCAAAGTCTTATAAGCAGAGTGTAAAATGCTACTTAATATCTAAAGCCTATGGCAGTTGTTCAATTACTTTTCTAAAACTTAAAGAGTTTCAAAAATCAGTTTCGTTACAGAAATACTTGATAACAGTTATTTATGATCAACTATATGAGAGACAAGTAAAGTCATCTGTTCAGTAACATGGAACATTGTGTTACATGAGTATTAGAACATCAGTACTAAAATGGCTTTAAAACAAAAAAATACACACAAAAATCTAAGGTGTCACTCTGATTGGCAGCTCAGTGGGTATGAGCAGGGAGGAGTATATAGACCAGGCAGTACAAAAGCTGAGTGAAAATGTAACCTCCCCATGAATTATGGTATCCGGAAGCAAGTGTGGCAGAGAGGAAAAAAAAGACATTTGGATCAGATCTGAGGGCAGGTCATCCTAAGCACCAGCAGTTTTTTAGAGCATTTTATGTCTACTATAAGGCACAATGGAATTTTGGGTACAAAATGTCTGGGGACAGTGATATACTAAAAGGCGCATTTAAGATATTCACAGTGTAATAGTCTGATTAGAAATCATTCCCTGCTAGGATCAGAAATGACAGTGTTCTAGTGAAGGAACATTTCTAATATTTTGTGTGCAAATATTAACAAGGAGTCCCAAATTACCATTATTTGCCTATGATTTAAAAATCCTGAAATCTCCAAATACACAAAACCCTAGTATTTTTATACCGTCTGAACCCAAAACCTGAGCAGGTAAGATGAATGTGTGACAAAGCAGATTCTGAAGACTGTATGTATCTACAAATAGACTTTTTAAGCTCTAAGCTTATTTTGTATGTTATACATAGGTGTGTATGCAAGTGGAACCAGCTCTTTCACATTTTGATTCAAAATGGCACACTGTGATGTGCTGTTCGGTTTTACTGCTGGAACAAATAATCTGGCCAAGTACATTTGGCATCAGTTGTAATACGCAAAATTGCTCTCATTGTCCATATGCCAAATAAGGGAACACTACGTTTATTGATATAGTAACTTACACTAAGCATGTTTTGTTAATGTCCTGGGTTCAGCAGTACCAGTCATGTTTTCTCCTTCTTAGTTAGCTGGTGCAGTGCTGTGGTTTTGACTTTCAGCCTGGGAACAGCACTGATAACACCGGTGGTTTTAGTTGTTGCTCAGTAATGTTTACTCTGACCAAGGACTTTCTGAGTCTCATGCTCTGCCAGGGAGGAGGGGAAGCCAGAAGGAAGCAGAGACAGGACAACTGACCCAAACTAGCCGAAGGGGTATTCCATACGTCATGCCCACTATATAAACTGGGGCAGTTACTCAGAAGGATTAGATCACTGCTCGGGTCTGGCTGGATATTGGTCGGTGGGTGGTGAGCAGCTGTATTCTTTTCCCTTGTTATTTCCCTTATCATTATCATTATTGGTGGTAGCAGTAGTAGTGGTTTATGTTATACCTTAGTTACTGGACTGTTCTTATCCCAACCCATGGGAGTTACATTCTTTCGATTCTTCTCCCCACTCCTCTGGGAGTGGGGGGAAGAAGAGGGGGAAGTGAGCGAACAGCTGCGTGGTACTGAGTTACCAGCTGTGCTTAAACCTGACAGTTGGAAATACTCTCCCCTGAGTCATAGTAAAAATGTTTTTAGACCACTCACTAATTCCCGTTTCCTGTGGTTTCTATGCAAAAATACACCCTAAAAGGGTGCTGAAAAAATGCTTGTTCCAATTTTTGATTTACACAGGCTGAATCAAAAAGCGTGTTGCAAAGTACTCCTTTCCCCATTAAAATATCACACAGTTATAACTCTAATATGGCTTTATGAAGTGTGAGATTTTTCTAGAGAATTTTATGCATGCTTGTGTCAATTATACTACCCATACACAGTAATATTTAAAAGAAGGCTTCCATCAGTATAACAAATCATTTTAGGGTATTACTATAAAAATAAAGCTCAGGCTAAGGAGAAAGTAATAAATGCATCAGCCACCAGTAGTGGCTGCTGTTCTGTTTATCCTATGGCCTGCACAATGTGTGCTTAGAAGGATTAGATGCATTTAAATAACATGAAGGAAAATACAGTTTTGAAAGTGAACCTCTACTTGTTCCTACTTAGCTTTGTCCCTGGAAGCTTATTAACAACCTGATTTTTTACTTGTTCTCAAAAAATCAAGGAAGACAGACAAGCAATCAGCACAAAGCTTAACACCTCTGCAGCTGAAGAACACAGTGGGGTATGTGATTTGAGAACCTAATTACTCTCAATTACAAATGTCGTAATCTAACTCTAGCCTTTTAAACCAAGTGTTTCATTACTTCACACACCCTTGCCATGTTCACTGCCATTCTATACTTTTACAATGTGTTTTGTGCCAGGTGGTCCTTTAAAGCTGAAACCACCAAACTGATTCACATGTGGAAATAAACTGGCTCTCGCAACAGATCACATAGTATAAGCAAAATATATACCAGGCCAGTCATCGCTGAAATGAAACCAGCCCATTTTGTACTAGATTCTGCATAATTTCCAGAGGACAGAGAAAAGAACTCCAGTAAAGCAGGCTTGATATGACAGAGGTAAAGCAATCCCTGCTGGAAAGCAAATCTGCAACCACTGAAGGCACAAATGAAAATAAGTGCACTTGGATATAGTTTCTTGCCAGGTTTCTGAAAACAGGCAAGATAAAAATGCAGTCATTTCAGGCAAACAAAGCATGCTCCTTCAAGTGAATATTGCTGCAATTTCTTCCTTTCTGTCTCACTATGCCATACATATAAATATGTGCAAACATAATTATACTTTTCCTCAAATCATTAATTTAGTAAATCTTCCTTCAAATTTTAAATAGCATCAAAAATAAAAAAAACAGTATCTACATTGAAGATAGATATGTGCAGATCTAATGCTACTTTTATACTGACATTATGTGAATGTATTGTACAACAGGTTCACGGAAGGGGCCCCATAAGCTCAGCAGCAAAACCCTTTCCCTCAAAACCAATTAAAGACACTATATAATTTATTAATCTAGCTGTCAGGACATCTAATGTTGGTAACTGCAGTTTCTCTAGGAATTTATGTTAGTACTTTGCAAGCTGTCATTGAGGAAATTATTCTTACTGTTTACTTTTCGTAGTCTGTTTCTTTATGTTGTAACCTGCATGGACACACAGGACATTCTTCCGCCATTGTTAGGCATCATTATAGGCTGAAGACATGGACATTTCACTTTTAGGCTGAATAACCTGGTTCCATGTGCTTTTTCCCTGCAGATCATATTTTAAGACAGTTAAATTCTTGATTCCTTCAGAAGCTAGCTCAGAAATGAGTTTTTAAAGGCCTAGTATCTGTCTTAAGCATTTTGCTGGGATGCAGAAGAAAAGGTCCAGGATGAAAAAAATATTTACCCTGCCTCTAGTTACTGAGTGAAATCAGACATCCATATGTGCGAAAAAAACCCAACACCAATCAACAAAAAAAAACCCACCAAAACCATACTGGGGAGATGATGAACACTTATTTAAAGGTTAACACTTATCAGGTCAACACTGGTATTAAACACCAGCAAAAGTATCAAAAACAGTGGGCAGAATTACTCTGAATTTTAGTTAAGTACACTAAAATAAAAACAAGAAAAAAAAAAGGTTGAAATGAAACAAACCAAATTTTTTGCACCTCAGATTCTGCAACAAGGCTTCTGCAATCCCTAATATTTTCCACCCTGTTTTTAGTTTTCTAGAACTATCAGACAGATCACTACCATAATGCTATCATATACAGAGACTCAAATGATCATGTACTTCTCATTTTGACTTGATTATACAGTGATAACTTACCAATAACTTTAACAAAATAGGCATCTGCTTCAAAGTTATTTTTTAATGTGTGGATAGCAAAGTCCCTGTTGGAGTAGCCTTTGCTTAGCACAATGATATCCAAAATTCCCTAGGAGAATAAAAGCGTTTATGTTAGAAAGCTGATTTACTCTAGATATCAGACTTTAGCAAAAAAATTCCCTTCGAGATACAAAGAAAGAAGTGTGCGCAGCAAAGTTGTCATGTTTGCTATTATTTTAGGATCTTTCAAATCTCACTAATCTATGGCAATCAAGAACAGAGTGCTCCATTCACATGTAACCAGAACCATGCATGTGGTCTGTGGCTTCTTTCTTGCCGTTGAAGAGGGCACCCCAAGGAGAGCATATGGAGGGTCAGCAAACTTTTAGGCAGCGATGGGCTGCTGCAAACTGCCCACCTGCCAGGGAGTATCTCAAGAGCCCATTTCCAAACATTTCTACACAGAAGTCTGCCAGTGGCACACAAATAGAGCGACACAGATGCTCTCTGCTGTAGAAAAGGGTTGAACTTACATCCTCGTATATGTCGAAGAAGGTTGCTACCACCGCATCCTTGATTTGATTTAGATCCGAGAGCTCCCAAAAAACTTTAAACATGCGATGTACACTCTTGCAGCTTATGTTATTGCATGGGACATTTTCTAGTAAAAAAGCCTGTTGATTCCTGTAAAACACATACATATATATGTATAAAATAACTTACTTGCTATGAACAGTCTAAGTAATAGACATTACAAAAAAATTGTAATTAAGCAGTTTAAGTCTCCAGAAGTTAAAAATAATAAAAGTGAAGCTAGCAGCCCCTGAATACTTTAAAATCCGTTAGCATATACATTAACTTTACAGAATTACAACCACTATGTCATGCCTAACTTACAATGAACGAATACAGAATCCAAATCAGCAGAAGTAATTTCATTCACCATCAACTCAAAGGAATGAACGTATGTATACTTTCTTCTGAAACAATTACAAGTGTACTTACCTGCCATCTTCCTTACTCTCTCCATGGTTCTTCAGCTTAAACAATACTTAAAAAGTGGCAGTGCTTTTTCATTATGTTATGACAATCTCTTCCCACCCCCGCTCCATTAATCGTCTTACACACTGCATGATGCTTTACACAAATTTAAGACTAAACCAAACATCTGTTGATACGTTTTCTGTTGTTTCAAAGCAAAATCTAAAACACAAAACCCAACCTACTAGCCCAGTAAGAACAGGACATGATAAACCAAATTGGACATTTGCTGACATGTAACAAACAGAGACAGAAAGATAGGCTGTAATACTGAAATTAGAAACAAACCAACCAGAGTATGAGGTCTAGTACAGCAAATCTCCCTTCCAAAGAATTTCTCTAATACATGCCCACTGGTCAGTGGTAGAAATTGGGTTTGTTCATGCACCCCAATGACTAACAGCATAATCCACTGTCTCCAGCACTGTAACATTGCCACTCTCCCTGGAATTGTGAAAACCTTCCAACTTTACTAACCAGGAGTCCCACTCCGGTCTGTATCCTGGGAGCCTGCTAGAATCCATCACTGCCTTGGCAACAGGAACAGATGACGTTTGAAGTTTCCTCCTCTCTTTCTGGTGGCAGAGCCACAAGATAAAGCAGACAGTGTTCTGTAAAGTCAGCTAAACATGGCAGAGCCCAGGACAGTAACACAAACCAGTTCTTCACACTGACCTTGAACATATTGCTATTTCACAGTAGGAGGTTTTTTTTCTGTATCTTAAAGGCATCCAGTGCTTCCAGGATGTAGTGTCACATAGGCACACACGCCAGTATTCTCCTTAAGAAAGTTTTACTTTTCTTTATGGTATATTTCAGATACTTTGCTACTTGTAAGAATCATATCCTAAAACACTGATTTCTGAAAGAGATAGAAAAGGCAAAACACTTTCTCTGAGAAAAAAAGTTTCCAACACTGAAGCAAGAGTTTCTTTGCCTACTGCCAAGTTAATACTTCAGAACCTGCAATGGGAAAAATGTAGGATTTAGTTCTCTGTAAGATGTGTTAAAGGTAAATTGGGATATTTAAATATTTCTCTCAAAACCTTGTTATCACATTTCTTAAGCTTCTTTGAAAAATATACTAGTCAGGCTTTTATTTTTCTGCTTAATAGGAAGCTTAATAGGAATAACCCACTTTTTACTACTTCAGTGTTAGAAGCAGGAGTATATTGACTAGTGTCTGGCCAAAATGAAACGGCAATCTGCAATATTTAAGACATCGTATTGTCTCCATCTGAGAACTCATAATCATAGCTTGAAATCATTAAGTACTCCTATTCACTTCATGTACTGTGCAAATACTGTAACAGATTAACAAACTATAAGATAAAGTGACAACCTAAGCTAAGGAAATTGCTCCAATTTCTCTTTTTCATCATATTGACATACATTTCATTTTAAAATTTTGAGGAAGTTTTACAAAGATACTTTCTTTCAAGTCACATTTTTTAAATTCCCAGAAATTACTGAACTTGCAGCTTTCCTCACATCAGTATATATACTGATATATACGCAGCCTTCTCTTCTCCAGGCTGAACAGCCCCAACTTTCTCAGCCGATCTTCATACAGGAGGTGCTCCAGTCCCCTGACCATCCTCGTGGCCCTTCTCTGGACTTGTTCCAACAGTTCCATGTCCTTTTTATGTTGAGGACACCAGAACTGTACACAATACTCCAGGTGAGGTCTCACAAGAGCAGAGTAGAGGGGCAGGATCACCTCCTTCAAACTGCTGGTCACGCTCCTTTTCATGCAGCCCAGGATACGGTTGGCTTTCTGGGCTGCAAGCGCACACTGAAGCTGGCTCATGTTCATTTTCTCATCGAACAGCACCCCCAAGTCCTTCTCCACAGGGCTGCTCTGAATCTCTTCTCTGCCCAGCCTGTAGCTGTGCCTCGGATTGCTTCGACCCAGCTGTAGGACCTTGCACTTGGCATGGTTAAACTTCATGAGGTTGGCATCAGCCCACCTCACAAGCAGTTCAAGGTCCCTCTGGATGGCATTCCTTCCCTCCAGCGGATCAACTGAACCGAACAGCCTGGTGTCATCGGCAAACTTGCTGGGGGCGCACTCAATCCCACTGTCCATGTCAGCGACAAAGATGTTGAACAAGACCGGTCCCAACACCGATCCCTGAGGGACACCACTCGTTACTGGTCTACAGCCAGACACTGAGCCATTGACCACAACTCTCTGTGTGCGGCCATCCAGCCAGTTCTTTATCCACCAACTTATCCATCCATCAAATTAATTTCTCTCCAATTTAGAGAAAAGGGTATCGTGTGGGACAGTGTCAAACGCTTTGCACAAGTCCAGGTAGATGACATCAACTGCTCTACCCCTGTCCATCAGTTCTGCAGCCCCATCATAGAAGGCCACCAAATTGGCCAGGCAGGATTTCCCCTTAGTGAAGCCATACTGGCTGTCACCAAGCACCTTGTTGTTTTTCATGTGCCTTAGCATGCCTTCCAGGAGAATCTGCTCCAAGATTTTGCCAAGCACAGAGGTGAGACTGACTGGGCTGTAAGTCCCCGGGTCATCCATCTTCCCCTTCTATTTCCCTTTTTCCAGTTGTCGGGAACGTCACCTAAGTGCCATGATTTCTCAAATATGATGTCCAGTGCGTTAGCAACTTCATTTACCAGCTCCTTCAGGACCCATGGATGGATTTCATCGGGTCCCATGGACTTGTGCACGTTCAGGTTTTTAAGATGATCTTGAGTCAGATCCTTTCCTACAGTGGGCCCAAGGTCTTCATTCTCACAGTCCCTGCATCTGCCTTCCAAGACTTGGGTGCTGTGGTCAGAGCCTTTGCCAGTGAAGACCGAGGTAAAGAAGTCATTAAGAGCCCCAGCCTTCTCCAAATCCAAGGTAGCCAATTCTCCTTATAGCTTCCAGAGAGGGCCCACATTGTTCCTAGTCTGTCTTTTATTTCCAATGTAACTATAGAATCCCTTCCTGTTACCTTTCACATCCCTAGCCAAGTTTAATTCTAACTGGGCCTTGGCTTTCCTAATCTAGTCCGTAGCTTCCTAGACAACATCCCTGTACTCTTCCCAGGCTGCCTGTCCTTTCTTCCACCTTTTATAAAGCTCTTTTTTCCCTCTAAGTTTCCTCAGCAGCTCCTTATCCATCCAAGGAGGTCTCCTGGCCCTCCTGCTGCACTTCCTTCTCATTGGGATGCAACACTCCTGAGCTTGTAGCAGGTGATCCTTGAATAGCAACCAACAGTCTTGGGCCCCCCTGCCCTCTAGGGCTATATCCCATGGAACCTTACTAAGCAGGTTCCTGAAGAAGCCAAAATGTGTTCTCTTGAAGTCCAGGGCAGTGAGCTTGCTGCATGCTCTTTTCACTGTCCTGAGGATCTTGAATTTGACCATCTTGTGATTGCTCCACTGACATAAATATTTTCAAAGGAATAAAAGGGATTCTGCCTCCTTTAATTTCTTTAAGTTACAGATGGCAACTAGAAGCTAGGCCTCCTAGACTATAGCACAGATTAAGGTCAAGAGTTCACAAAAATGCTTTTATCATTTAATCACCATAATCAATCATTGAAATTAAGGCTGTAGATGTAGCATGAAAGGCTTCAGAGAAAGAAATAAGCAGCTTGATCCAGAAGTGTTTAAAATTAATTAATTAAGGTTTTCATTTTTATTTGCTCTAATTTAAGTGGAGCTTTTAATTCCCACACAGTTTTAATTCTTTCCACTCTGTGACCCAGTTATGCATTGTGAAAGAATTTCCATAAGTTTCTCACAAACAATGAATTAATACTACTCTGAAAGTGACATTTTACAGGGGGAACAAAAACCTATGATTTTCACTCCCATCCCAAAGTAAAAAGAATCTGTTTTCATTACTTTCCTACAAATACTGGAAGTACACCATGTTAATGTGCAACGTGTTTCTCAATTTTTCATTTACTTTTTTTTTTGCAGACTTCCTCAGCTCTCTGAACTTCCCTTTTAACACCTTGTCAAACCATCTGCCAGTACCTTCAGCCCTTATGCCTTACTACGTCACTCCACTCTGAAGTCAATTTTCAAAATAACCTCAAGTTGCATCCAAATGAATAAATAAAAAATTTCAGAAGCATGGAGTGCATCACAGTATTTCATTGCAACAAGGCATAGGTAACTTCCTCGCCTTTTACAGGAGTAACTATTTACAAACTATTTAAATGTTCACAATATTACACTGCCATATTTATACACCAGGCAGAGGAGAGATGCTCCTAAAATCTTAAAAGATAAAACAACTTCAAATAAATTTCTGAACTCTATGAATCTTCACAAAGTCTTTCCAAAGTGTACTGGCTATCAGGGTACACACTTAAAAATAGCCTACAGTACAGCTCAAACCAAGATTTGTGGGGCTTCAGAAAAACAAAGACAAGAACTATGTTGCACTTTAGATGTCTTGGTATTACATGGAAAAAGGAGGACTTTTGTTCTAGCCTGCTCATTAGACAGTCTACAGTCTTTATTCAGTGACTGCTGAACAGAAGATGCAACCTCCCAGTTGCACAAGGCTATGGAGTAAAAAACCTGACATTCAGGGTCCCAGTACTCTAGCTTCTGGTAACACCCCCTTCTCCTCTGCTGTATCAGAATACAAACAGCTGCTGTGCTAGTTATTTTCAGGCTGAGAAGTACAGAGACAGAGCTCAGCTGCTGACTGACTTGTCTCTGAATCACCTCATGTAGGCTGAATACCCCAGCATGTGGCTCTTCAAACTGGGTCATTTTCAGGTATGTGTCAGTATCAGAAGAACTCTTAGTATAAAAATGTCTGTGGGTGATTAATATTTAGGCAACCACTAGAGAATCTGTAATGAATTCTTTAACTTCAGCATCTAAATTCTGTCTATATACTGTTTTAAGCACCAAAGTGAGCTCCTCAATTGTTTTTCTTACTATTCATTCAAACTATGAACGTGCATCCAAGCTTACCAAAAACACCATACAGAGGAAGATAATAAATACACGTGTAAGAGACCTATTTTGCCTTTTAATACACTAGTACAAGTATTTGTCTTAGATCTCAGTAAAGAAGATGTTAAGACTCCATAAGGTATTGATTAAAAAAAAGGGGATACCATATCAAACTTTACATTTCTTCAGATCCTGGAAAACCCAGTTTACGCAGCATCAAGCAGACCTTGAGTCAGGGCATGGCATGCTGCATGTATCCTGTCTGTAGTGAGTGAGGCTCACTGGTGCTATGGTCTCTAGAGCCATTTCAAGTTTTCCTTAGAAGTAAATAAGTCTATTCATCATTTCTACTGTCAAGCGAAAGGACGTTCACACAAAAACAATGCTGCTTCACTTTAAGGTAAAGACAAGAACATTCCAGTAGTATCATCACCACATGCCAAGTGAGAGCTACCTGCCTACAGGCTTCTCCATTACGATCAGCTAGCTAAGTCTGTCCTGCAGGCAAGTGTTGTGTGCAGAACAGCACTGGTGTGCACCTACTCAGGTCAACTGTTATGTGGATCACTAACTCCACAGTGTACAATAGCCTCCCTGTAAGCACCACTGCATGTTCTCTCCTACCTAACAAAAGAAGATAGCATTACAAAGTATTGGGAAAAAAGTAATGACGACAGACAAAAGAAAGAAGGAGAATGATTACACTGACAAATTCAACAGCGAAGGTTAGAAGCTTCCCACCCCCCCCTTCCCTTTTTTTAGGGGGAAGGGGAAGTGTATTTGTTTCAGTTAAATATGAACAATATCATATCACTGGTGAGTTATTAGGTATGTCTAAAATCCCTGGTTCTCAAAAGGGGCAAAACACTTGCATTTTTCAGTAGTCAACAGATAGCGTTCACTCCATGTGAAAGCATGGAGCAGGCTCCCCAGCTCTCAGCAGGCAGTGTTACTAGCCAACACTGAAAGCAGAAGTCAGGATTATACAGATGATTTGGGAAAGGAAAGAGAGATAATAATCTCCTATTATCCAGGATGAGTGGCCAAAATGGTACTTCATACTCCACTCCCTGGTGTGATTCCCTGCCACGAGTCCCAGTTCAAGCCTATACAATTATGCATTCAGAATATACCTTGTAAATGCATACCTTTTTAAAAATAAAACAGTTATCAGAGATCAAAAGTCATGCTCACTAGATAAAGTGAACAAGATGCACTAAAATTAGTAATTTGCATGACAGATGATTGAACATGTATTTGATAATCTTTATTTCTAGGTTTACATATACTCTACCTTCCAGATGTGTTCTTTAGTATAGCAAGAGCATCTGGGTAGCCATCCATATTGTAATCTCCAATATGAAGTATAATTGGAAATGAAGTTTCTGTTGAAGATTTGTCACTTTGATACGGTACGAAGCCCCAAAGTGTCTCTTTATTTCTGAAGTCTTGCAAGACTGGAATCCACTGTAAAATAAAACAAAAAAACCCAACCCAGCTAGGTAAAGAAATCCATTTTCTTCATTTAAACAACCTAGTTCTTTTTAAAACAGCTCACATATATTCACTGCATCAGGATTCTTAACCATTTAAAAATTTCCAAAGAGGAAATAATGATTATTTCCTAGCTCTGTTACCAAATGAAAAAACTGATCTGAAGTTTTTTCTATTCCAGAACTGGAAAATAAAAAATAGTACAAGGTTGTAAGAATAAAGGACCTGTGTTTTGAAATGTGTCCAGTGTATGGAAATATTCAGGAACAACTTCAGTGAAATTCAGGTTTGCCAGGAATCAATACTAATTCTCAAGTATAGGTAAGCCCAAATCACAAGTCCTATTGTTTTTCCTCGAATGACAAGCAATAGGCAGCATTAAAGCTGGAGAAGGGGTTCACCCTCATTAGATTTGTAGAAAATTGGGGGATACTACCAATATGCTTCAGGAGCAGATGGCCATTCAGAATGGTAAGAATGGGTGAACAGGGACCTCATAACAGTCAGTAAAGAAAGTCCAGTACAGGGGAGTAAATCCCTGCAAACAGTACAGGCTGGTGACCCACCAGCTGGATAGCTTTCCTAAAAAGGATGCCTGGGTCCCGGTGAGCAGTAAGCTAAAGCTGAGCGTGGCAGCTATGACAGCATAAGAGCATACTGCACTGTAACTGCTGCCTATGCTCCTGCTGATTGAGGCAAGTCATCATTTCTTTGTTTGGCAGTTGTTAGTCTGCATCTGGATTCTGTATCCAGTTTTGAGCCCATGGTTCAAGATTGGAGAATACTGAGTGATTTTACAGAAGGGTCACCAAGATGGTCTGACAGTGAGCATTTACTCAAAGGACAAGCTGAGGGCACAGGGTTTGTTCAGCCTGCAGGACAGAAGATTTCAGGGGGGACCTAACAGTGGTCTTCTAATGCCTGCAGGAAAAAGAACTGAGAAGATAAAGCCAGGCTTTCTACTGAGATACAAGATAGTAAGAACAAAAGATGATGGTCTGAATTCGGTTTTATCCTGGCTTGAAACAGAAGGCTGGATCTCCTAAGGCTCATTTTAGCTTGAATGATTCTATTACTCATGGATATTTAGAAGTTCAAGAGCTTCAATTCTCCTCCTATCTCCCCAACAGCACCAGATATTGAACCATTTGATAAGAAATTAAGATTACTGAATCAAATAGAAAGTACAAAAGAAATGCAAAGTATAATTTCTCCAGGACAAGAAATAAGAGTGTATTTGCACTTACTTTCCACCAAATGCTGAAGAAGTGCTAAACAACAATTTATCTTAATTAAAATCAAAAGTAATTTTAGGAGTTGGCATGAATTTAAAGTACCAGGGTTAACATTTCAATGCTACGGAAAAATTCAGTGCCATTTTTAAAACCAGAAGTAGTTTTATATGTCAGTTAACTTGCAATGACTTCAAAAGGACAGAAGGGTACCATCTTAAAGGGCTGTATCACCAGCATCAAAAGCATTTACAGCACCTTAAATGTTTTTCATCCAAGCCTTAATTTAGCTATTTCAGGAACCAGAATGAGATCCCTGACAGTATGGCTGCCTGCTGTGGAGAGACTCCCCCACTAACACAGTTCAGTAATCAACACCATTCCTGCCATATGGCAGGAATGTGTGAGACTTGGACCGGTCCTTTGAGATTACCTACAGCCATGTGTGTATTAGAGAAGCCTGCAGAGTTATTGAAGAAGTATGCTAAGGTCACCTTTGGGTAACACACATGGCTTTAAAGCCTAGACCAGTCCTGCCAGACACTGCTTATACTTCCTGTATGGCTGCCTATGTGAGTGGTGGCATCTCAGCTGCAGTGATGACCTACACCACGCTTGATGAAAACTTAAAGCTGAAACTAAACATACTTTATCCTTGCCCCCGAGCACACCACCCTCCCCTCCCCGCCACACATGCCCATGTAGTTACTGCTAGCTGCTGAAGGTTTGGAAAAGTCTAAGAAACAGAAAATAAGAAAAAGACTCTCAACCCAAGGGAAATTTTTCAAAAGGGTTAGATTTCTTAGCATGCACTTGTCATGCAGAAGACAGATGAAACAGTATTATTGCAAACCACTGTAATTTTTGAAAAATACCGACTGAAATCAGAACCATGAAATATAATACAGCTTTTACTTTACACAGTACCATTCACAGTCATTGCAATGAAATCCAATTATATCCATCATATACTTCCTAATGCTCCCATGTAAGGTAACACTATTTTAAAGGAAAAAAAAGAGTAATTTTTAGGCATAAATTTGAATTCATATTCTGTTTTTAATCTAGAGTGATTCATAGAAGGCAATTTACAGTCATCAGGTCTACAACATACAAAACAACGGGTGAGCAAACCAGAAACATCCCCTATTGCAACCAAGCATCATCACTCTGCATGCTTCAGAATAAGAATCATCCATCCCATGAACCGGTTGTGGGACTCACAACTGCAGCTGTAGAACCTTTTAAAAATACCATTCTTGTTTGATGTGCAACCAGAGCATGCTCTAGAACCACATGTAACTTACTCTGAGAGTTTAAATTCAGAGTAACCCAGGTGGTTTGGTAAAACTCACTCTGCATATTTCTTTTATAAATAGCAGTATAACGTAATCGTGTGCAATGTAATGCAAGAGTAATTGTTCATGTGCCTCAGGACATACATTTCAGTACAGAAGGCAAAAAATAAAAATATGTTTGTCAATAATATAAATATCCTGCTTCTTTTGTATTTGATAATCGAGACAATTACTTTAGGGTTCATGTTTGCTGTTATCATTTTAATAGCAAAGAGACTAAACCTGATTTTTTTCCTTTCACTGTAAGATATAAATAGGTGGGTATAATGAGGACACACAAAGCTATTTTTTGCTGTTTTCTGATCATATGATTTCTATTACCTAGATCAGATGCAAAAACATACTGAAAAATGGAACGAGTGTATCAAAAGGAAAATTTAGATGAACACAAAATTTAGAGAAAACAGTTTTACTTCTTCCCTTTCTGTAAAATTTAATTGCATAGCACCACTTTTATAACATTATATACATATTTTAATCCTTCAATTAATGCTTTTGTAGGCTGAAATAAGAAAAAAAATCTTTATTTCAGTGCTTCAAAATTTGTTTTCCAACTCTTGTTTTAAAACAAGCCTAAAAAAACAAAACCGACCTGTTTTTCAAGACACAGAAGAGAAAAAGAATGCTTTATTGCCCTGTGAAAATAAGGTCTTTTTCATTTTGAAAAATCTCTCAGGTACTGGCGAAAAATTTAAAGCTTGTTGCACTCACCCTACTGAACTTGAAAAGGGCCTATTTCTTTCATTCCACCTTCTTCTAGACATTAGGAAATGTATAAAAGCCTTGCTCTAAAGCCTTTCAGTAGGTCTTTGATCCAAAACGGTGGAATTAACACACCTCAGTTTTTAAATTGTAGCTAAAACCCTATGAAGCATAAAACCCCACTCAGCCAGCTTCCCTCTTCCAGACCACCTAACTTGGGCAGGGAGCCATCTGCAAATCAGCTTGCATTTGGAGACTGGTAGTCCTTTCTTGGCCAATACATTATCTGGAAATGTCAGGGTCTCTCCTCTCTATGACAAACACTTCGCCATCCTATAGAGCAATGAGTATCAAGAGTGGCCAGAAACAACTGGCCACAGCAACAGAAGTTCTTTGCCCTGGGGACTCCTGCTCTACTGTACACATGCACTGCAGTTCAGCTGCACATAAAGAAATCCTCTGATTTCAGGCTGCATTAGGCTTCCGGTGCTTATGAAGGTCCCCTGAATTTCATATACAATTGAGCAGCTACTATCGCATAAAAACAAAGTTATCTATACATCAGTATCACATTAACTTACAGAGTTCAAGCCCAGAAGACGACAATCTAAAACACTGATTTAGCGAGGAAAAGGTAACCAGAGCAGTAAAAGTTGTATTTTTGATGTTGGAATGTGTCTCAGAGGCTCATAGCTGCTTTGAGAAAGATGAGCAACTTGGAAACAATGAGATGATCCTGTAGAATCTGAGATTTATGAAATTGCAGCTGCAATCTCCCATCCCCTCCACAAGTTTCTGATGGCCCTTAAACTGTTACAGAGGAAGGACAAACTTCTAACACTGACTGACTGCAGCTGATGATCAGTGTTGTCACAATCTTCTCTAGCCTAGAGAATGACATGATAAAGACCTGTGATTTGCTGTAGGATGTACCACTGTGTTCTACTTCAGAGCTGCTAGATTTAGAAGAGGAATAAAGCTATAACCTTTCCATTGTATAAGGGAAGGTTATAAGAATCATCAAGCCATAAAGAAGTCCTCCAGTGAAGAGACTAAAATATTGCTGTTTGCTTTAGGAAGCAAAGGAAGAATAACACTGAAATACTTGGCAAAACTGGAATAAATGTTAGTCACCTCTAAGTATGCAGACTTTCCACAGGAAGTATCACTAACTTCAAAACATTTTTCAGGGAGAACTCAGTCTAATTTTCAGAATGTAGATGAGAGATCTGAATCACCCAGCTGATCAGTCTGTAGCTGCTGCAGGTGAATTAAAAGAAGCCTGAAGTACCCTAACGCCTACCATAATCTGAAACAGCACATTGGATTCTACTTCAGATCTGTCAGCCACTCTTCTGTCACTATGGAAACATTCACATTTTCTTGAAACGTTAGTAGATCTGCATCTCCTGAAGTCACTCAAGTGTTTGTTGGCCTTACTCTTGCTCCGACATCCAAAGAAGAAAATCTATCAGAGATATTTCTAATACTCATAAAGATTAAATAATTAAATAAATGAAAAGCTTTGGTGAACCATCATCCCTGAAAATAATCCTCCTAGGTCTGCTTGGCTTTCCAGTAGCCATCCAGCTGTGCTAAAGACGTCATAAGAAATATACTGCAGAACGACAGACATCAAACATGACCTTACTGGAAAAACTCGAAAGCCTGACATGCCATTGCATGCTTCTCCACAACGTAAGTTTTAGAACCACGTTGTATAGATGTGTATTTCTGATTGTTATACATTTCATCCCAATGAATCATATGCTGTCATGGAACTGATTTTCATTTAGTTTTATCTGACATCACAACAAACAGACATGAAGAAATATGTATGGCACACATTACAATTCCTGTAACCCGTTACAAGTTGTAATTGGGCTCAAACTTAAACAGGGGAAGTTTAGATTAGATATGAGGAAGAAGTTCCTTACTGTGAGGGTGGTGAGGCACTGGAATGGGTTGCCCAGGGAAGCTGTGAATGCTCCATCCCTGGTGGTGTTTAAGGCCAAGTTGGATGGAGCCTTGGGTGATATGGTTTAGTGTGAGGTGTCCCTGCCCATGGCAGGGTGGTTGAAACTAGATGATCTTAAGGTCCTTTCCAACCCTAACTATTCTATGATTCTACTGTATGATTCTAAGTACACTATAGTGGGTTTTGCTGTCAGCTATAAGCATGTACATTATAGGACACCCTGGCCTTTACATTCACATTGCTAAACATGAACTTAGGAAAAATAATTGTTAAGGCATCAAACAAATATTAAGTTAATTTATCATAAACTGTAACTTTATTATAAAGCAGGGCACTATAAATACTTAAACAGATTAAGACACACTTTAATTGAATATATAGTAATCTATTACATGAATTATGACCATGTCTCTCAAAACAAGTAGTGTTTGTGAGCAAAGCTGAAATAGTTAAATAGAAACCTAGCCCTGAAGATACACAGCCTAAAAACAAGTCTTCACATACCATTTGGAAATTTACTTATTAAGAATCAAAGACACAGCAGCAAAAAGGTGTAAGAGGTGTGAGCTGGTTCAACTTCATATATGTGGATGCACATACATATATTTATATAAATATATATTTACATATATATATTTACTATAAAATAACTCCATACCTTGAACTAAATAATATTATTTGAATTAATCAGATCTGTTTCCAACTCTTTACACAAACCTGGATTTTCGTCTCATGCTAAGGCAGTTAAGATGCTTTGAATACAGTGTTTTACAATCAAGAAGTGACTCATTGAAACACCTGGAATTTTCTTGAGTAGAATTATCCATTATATAGAATTCTAGGTATGCAACCTCTTCCATCAAACCCGAGTTGTTATTGGTAGGTAACAAGTAAATAAATAAAAGTCTTATATGCAATGATTACAAGTGAGAAAGTCTTATTTTGCTTTCCTGTTTCACCTTATTTCATAAAAAAATAGTATTTTCCTTTGTCTTTGCAATTTCACAATACCTGATCCATTCCTACCTTAGTTAAGTAGATGGCACTTTTTTGACATGTTGTATCTTCACAGACTGGTAATAAATGTTCACTTTGTCCGTCTCCATCTGTGAGAGAAAAAAAAACAAAACAAAAACCAAAACCACATATGACTGTCAGCTTTGTATTTGCAAAATCAGAAAGCCTGTTTCCCTGTTTGCAAGACATCACCAGCTATGAATAATACACTGATTTTTAAAATGTGAAAAATTACATGAGAGAAACAAGATCTATTTAAAATCCTTAACTTGATAATCTAATTCTGGTATTTTATTTGAAATTTTCTCAGTTGATGTATTTTAATCTTGACCCATAAAAATTTTATTTCTGATGATAATGTGATATATTTAGAAGACTAAGTGCTTAGTAATTTACTTAATCCCTGTGTTTAGTTGGGAAGAAAATGACCTTTAATATACATGCACTATCACAAGTCCACCATACAAACATATTTAATATTCTGAACTACTTTTAAACTCTTGTGCAAAGGTAAGAATACATTAATCTATCACATAAGATAAATAACAACACTGGAAAGTTGATTAACACAATGGGTAATAAATTCCAGCCTTACAAAATTAGGCAAATCTGAGTAATTTACAGGTTCTCAAAAATGTTCCTCAAGCACCTTTAATCCACGTATTTCCAAAACCTTTAATAGAATGATGACCTTTCATTGTTTAAACAAGCAAAGTCTATTTGCATCTAGAATTCTGGCACACAGAGCAAATAATGCTGGTGTGTGTGTATGTGCGTGTGTGTGTGTGTGTGTGTGTGTGTGTGTGTGTGTGTGTGTGTGAATTCACTGCTCAATTCCTACTCCATGAGAGATCCCTACATTCTCTTTCTGGCCTCACAGCCCTGGCTAGCATAGTCAGAAATACACCACCTTCCTACACAGAGAGAGGCCACCACAAGTCATCCCATATGGTCAGAGAAGGAAGATGATAGTAGCTTAACAGAAGCCACCAAAAAGCAGCAGCTAGAATTCCTGCATTAATGACTACTGCTGCAAGTCCTTGACTACTGCAACCAAACTTGACTCACCGGAGAGATGGTATGCCCCAACTTGGGGGAAGCTCAAGTAATCTGCTTTTCCAGGCTATGAAATCAAAGGTCATACTGTAATGAGAAAACTAATCTTTATAAATTGCTCCTTAACCCACACAGTTCTGAGGAGCTTGTATTAATATTTTAATAGGACACAGTTCCCCCAGTTCCTCTGACCAGAACATAAGCCCATTTATCTAATTTTTATTACACACTTCTGCTTTCAGTTGAAATAAAATTATAAGATAAGAGAAAAATATGTTGGAAATTTACAGCACAATTTTAAGAAAAATAAATAAATAAATAAATTTGTCAAGAAAAAGATGAGAAGTTTAAGGTTCTTAAGCTCACCTAGATCTCAAATTAGTGCTGTGTCCACCCTCCAAAAGTTTTTCAGATAGAGAGATCCATCTTATGAATACTGAACTGGTGTTTTCTTGTTTAGTTATATATTGTATTACAGAAAAGTAGCAATAAAGAAAAGGAAACCCCAACATTCTTCATCTGTATCGTACTATTAACTCATACTTCTCTAGTTTTTATTCCTAATGCACATCTTATGATGTACAGATAAATCTTTTACTGTTGAGATTATTTGATCAAAATCAGTTTTCTGAAGAAAAATCAGAGACTGTCAAAATTGTTAGCCCACATTTTATAAGTCAAATGCAGCAGTTACCATTTCTTACAAAAATAAGGATAAACCCCACCTGGAACATTGGCTAAAACTGTAGAATAATTTATTTAAATTAAAATCTTCCATCAACTTTTTTTCAAAAAAGCCCAAGAAAACCCTCCACAAAACCAGCACTATGCACAAACCTAAAGGAGAATCTTTTCCACTATCCATTACAATCTGAAACTGTTCTCATCTGTAGTAACCAGAAGCACATTTTTTTCCCATATTTCGGAAGATTTTTCAAGGGCACTATCTAAAACCAACAAAGCGATACAGCGGCTTTTTCAGTTTTGAAAGAAAAAAAAATATTCCTAATCCTTATGCAATTCCAGCCTTTTGAAAAATCTGAAATACAAACTTTTGTCACAACTCTACTGATCTTGAAGACCACACATAAAAACCTCAGCAGCTGCTCACAGAAGAGCTCAACCTTGCTAACAGACTTACCTTACTAATGCTAACTCTTGTCATGCTTGGTTTCAATTTCAGTTTAAACAAATACCCTTCAATTTTAAACTCTAATCTTGAATTAAAATTCCTCCTCAAAGGAGAAAGAAAATGGAAATCAAAAAGAAGTATCATTAGCCATTTGCTCTACTGCAATTAGCCATCCATAGATGGCAACACATGCATTGGTGACAGTGGCTGGATGAACCCATCAGACCAGCTGAAATAAGCTGCACTAGTTTCAAATGTAAAAACACGTTGCACAACATGTCTCTCATAGTGTATTTCAGCCTAGGTTTACCTAAGAAATCTGTTTCTGGAGATTCTCTGCAGTCTTCACTCAGCTCTCAGAGTCTACTTTCCATTACTATACACATTTCAAACAGTCTCAGTCCAAACTGCCATAAATCCCAAGGTTATCCTTACTTGCTATTTCTATGTAATTTCTAGCAGTAGCTGTGGCTAGACATACCCTAGACTCCAAGTGTTTTTTGCCACTACCATCTGACTGAAAGCATGTTTAACATGCAAATAAAATCTCAACCGTTAAATAAAATCTCAACCATTAGCTAGTCTGTTCTCAACACACGATTCCGGCTTAAGCGGTAATAATAAAGAACTACATGGTTAATAAAGATCAAATTTTACAGGCAGTGGAAAAGGCTAGAAAAAGAACAGTCCCACATACTCATCAACTGCAAATCAGTACTTCTGTCAAAACACACAGGGACAAAATTAGCAGTCTTATGCTATCGAAGAATCATGTGAGAATCATAGAATAGTTGTTGGAAAGGACCTTAAGATCATCAAGTTCCAGCCCCCCTGCCATGGGCAGGGACACCTCACACTAAACCATATCACCCAAGGCCTCATCCAGCCTGGCCTTGAACACTGCCAGGGATGGAGCATTCACAGCCTCCCTGAGCAACCTATTCCAGTGCCTCCTTACAACTGCCTGTTCGCTGTATTTTAAAGGCAAGCCAGGGATACTCTGTTCTTCCCAACATTCTGCCTGTCTGCAAAGCAATCCAATCCAGAACAAGAGTAACCCAAAAGACACAGATTGTGCAGCTCACTAGGAGCACACCACATACAGAGAAATTGTATGAGAAAAATGACTCACAGCTGAAGCTTTAACATTGATTGTGAATGCTCAAACTTGGAAAAAAGCACAAGCTCAAACATTTTCAATCAATTCTGAAAGTAAGTTTGAGTGGGAGAAAGCAGAAGAAAACCTTGTAAATCAGATGAAGAACAACATGATGCTATGAAAAAGTGTTATATGTTCAAAATGCAGTGCTAATGTACCACAGCGTAGGCACATGTTTTATAGTCAATGTACAAATATGAAACTGTATGTTGGTGGTTATCAAGAGATTCATTGCCCCCAGGTCTTGGCATCTCACTGAACTGCTAATCTACACACGGAAGTTGTGCTGTCTGCCAATGTATAATGGTGGTACTAGATTTTGTCTAGTTTCAGCTTGGATGGCTAAGATATTTCTGTAGCAGGTCAATTAGCTTTTAGTCTTTCAATCTGAACCAACTGGATTATTACCTCACAGCGGCACAGACCTTTCGGGATGGATCCATTCTGTCTGACAGCTGACTCATCACCTACATCTACCCATAATTAAAGAGAAATATGCATAACATAGCTAGGCTGAATAGGCAATTAGGCAGCAGGCCCTACAGTAGAGGAAAGACAAAACAGAACTCTCCACTCCCAAATGGACTTTTGAAGAGACTACTAAGTTGCATACACAGTGGACTCCTTTCCAAACCAAGATGTATCAGAGCCAAGATATTAAAGCAAACATGCAGTTAATTTACTTAGCATGAGTAAACGTAGGCAAAACCTATTCAATTCAGATCTTCAAATTCCTTCAAAACCAGAAAAAGGTGTCAGAAAAGTGGTATTTTGCAACCAGTTCAAAGGTTATTACATTTGTTGCGCACACTTGTACAATGCACTTTCCAACATGGGAAGTTGAAATAAAAAAAACAGAACCTGGGGAAACTGCAAGAACCACAATCACTGAATTCAAAATTGTTTTGTAATACAGCAAGATGAAGATGTAGTTATGAAGAGCAAAAAAGCTTTTGGTGGGCGTATGATCCAAGTCTTTTTACTTTAAACAGCTATGTAGTTCTGCTGCAGTGTAATCGCCTTTAAAAACAAAAATGGAATCAACTTTTTTTTTTGGACTGATTATTATAACTTATTACAGTTGTGTTAAAGAAAAACAAATTGCTATCTGAAGTATAGAAATAAGCTAACAATGCAAGCTAAAACAGTGAGAACAGTCTAGCTTTCATAATTCTGAGTCTGATGCGACATAAAAGTAAGACCCTTCATATACCACGAAGTCCTCATGCCTAGAGAACCGACTGTTCTCTCTTGAGAATACAGATTCTAGACAAGCTGCAGTCCCTGTATTGGTACAGATCTGCTGGTGCAGTTTCCCCAGTTCCCTTCAAAAAGATGAGAAAAAAAGTGTCCTCATCATAGTTTTGTAAAAGCCAAGAAGTTTTTCTCTGCTGCTTATTTTAAGTCCAAATATGCATAAGCATCTCTTGTTTGATACAATACGTCCTAATGAATATTTATATGCTTTTTATTTCACCGTATATATAACTTACTCACATTTCTCTCTCATGGCTTTGCCCAGTTCTCATTCTCCTTCCTCATGAGCCTTTCATTTAAAGTTCTAATGAATAGTAGGAAAACAAGGAGGAAAAAGCCCTGTTATGGTAGTGCTCGAAACAATACCCTTCTGAGGCAGGCAAGAAGACTACAACCAGTATGACTGAGTTTGATACTCAAACAAAATACAGGTTTGTTTGATTATCTTATGTTCTAAAGTAATAAAATCATTAGAATTCTTTTGT